ATATTTAAGGTTAGTGTTAGAATGTAGCAGAATTAGGAATTATGTCACGTGTTTGCTGTGCCGGTAGCAATTCCCTTATTTTTTGTGTACAGTTAGTCATCTATGGGAAATCTATCATTATGATAGATTTTCCATAGATGACTAACTGTACACAAAATATAATTGAAAGTCCGATAACAGGTTTTCCCTTGGCGGCTCTCAAATATAGAATTTTTATATTTTGTATAACCCATGGTGGAAATAGCAAAAAACCATAGTGGAGACAGGTGTTCCCTATTTTTATTCGCTTGTTATTTCTTAAATTTATTTTTATTTTAATTAATGTTTATTTTTTTCAATCTTTTTTTCGCTTTTTTTTAATCGGTAAATGGATACCGGCTCTAATACAGCCTACGTTATTTCACGATTCACAGATTACACTTGCCAATTCCGGATCGACATAAATTCTGTAACGACACGGAACACATGATCGTTATACATTACAGATCTTGAAAGAAATCGATGTACTAAATATAAATCAAATTTAATTTAGCAAATTGATCATAGAAATATTAACATATTTGGACCTTTTTTTCTAATTAAGGATTATTCTAATTTTATCAAACAAATAAATGGATTTTCAAATTAAATAAATTATGGTAAGGTAATTAGGAATAATTCACGTATATAGTCATAGTAAACTCGCGTAATTCTAGTAAACTCTCAAAAATACAGTAAATTATACCATTTTTTTATAGTAAAAATCAAAAGAGAATTTTTCTATAAAAGGTTGTCCGGTTCTGATAGAAAAAATGTCAAATCCAAATACACACGTGGATTTACTGATATATTATCAGAAGCGACAAGAAATTGTTTTAATATAGACTTATCCTAATTTTAATATACAACCGGTCATGAAAATTATTAAAGCCTATTCAACATTTAACTTATGCCTTATACTCTTTGTGACATTATTGCTAACCATTTTTCCGTCTTCAAAGGCAAAGAAAACTACTAGATTCAAATGTGGTGACGTAACTAAAGCAATAAATGCGGAAAAACTTATTGATTACGATGCCTTAAAAACATGTTTTAAAAGCATTCCTTTTAATGCTACAAATGCTGCCCAAGTAATTTTTAATATATTTTTTTTAATTTTATTTAAAAATTACCTAAATATATATTTAAATAATTTTTTTTAACAAAAAGATAATTGATTCTGCGTCACACATCTTGTCGAATTATTATGTTTTCCTTGACCAGGCAAATAAAAATCCACCTAATGGATTTACTTATCAACCTATAGATATAATAGGTGAATTAAAATCATTGCGTAAAACAAAATTCAAATCTGATTATGACTTTAAGGTATGTTACATAATAAATAAAATCTCTACATTATATTTTATAAAATATATATATATATATTAACGCAAAAGTTTAAATTAATTAGATAGCTTTAAGAACTCTTATTTTCAAATTAAAAGATGGTCATACAAGATTTTCAAGTATATGTTATCAGAATTTTCATTATGAACAAAACTTAAGTTTATTTTCTGTGATTACGACTGATAAAAAGAAAAGACAGAAACAGGTAAACTAATTTCAGTTATTATCATCAGTTGCTGTGCCAATATTAACATTATACCATTAATTGTTTAATCAATTATCATCTATAATTATTGAA